TTTCTCGCAAACACCATTTGGCAATAAAGCTAAATATGACAACAAATTATTTAATTTGCATGACTACCCACATAGCTCAGTTGATTTGTACTATGTCAGCAATGTGAGCGATCCCTGGTTCGAATCCAGTATGTTTAGTTAGATTTTTGAATGCTAGTGAAGACAGTGCTCCTATGAATAGGACTTAAATCCTAATTCCTGTGTGAAGACACTCGTGGTACAGTGGACAAGACAGTGCGCTGGGAGTTCGAATCACGGATTGGACACTCCTACAAAAGACATGAAAGACGTTAAAAACATAAACAGCGGATTCAAAAACTCAAGTCAGGAAAACAGAACACAAGAATACTACCCCACATGGAAGCCAGTCGAAGTCGCCGAAGAACGAACACAGTTGACAGCTGTAGGTCACGTGCAACAACAGACACGAGGAGCATGGCTGCTCTCCAAATGGGTCCCTTCTTTTGTATTGACCCCCTAATGATTGCTAATCCCAATTTCTAACTCTTCCCCCAAAAATAATATATCGCACCTTTTAAAATGTATTGACCCACAAATTAATGAATATTCATGAGCACAGAAACTGATACGTCATGAATAAATTAGCATAATTTTAAAAAAAATTGCATAAAGTGTAGGTACTCCTTCTGGAGCTCTGCCCTACCCTTAATTCCACATCATCATAAGAGTTCCTTAGGTCCCCCTCACCCCTAACCTGAACCCTAACACTCCAGCCCCCTCAATGTAATTCAATATGCCCCACCAAATAATTATAAGCGACCCAAAGAGGGTATATACAATAGAAATGGAGGAGGGGTACTGTAGGGGCAGGGTTAGAATTAGAGTTATGGGTGAGGGGCCCTAAGGACTCTTACCAAAAAAAGTTCATGCTTTAGTGAGATTCAGTGTAAATAAGTATTATTTATTGTTTGTTTTTTAAATAAATTTAAATGACAAAACTGCCATTTCTAGCAAATGTTTAGTAAATAAATAATTCCTGTGGAAGTATATATTCCCATAACAACAACAAAAGAGACACCCCTCCAAAAAATAAAATTCAGGGCTGGTTCCATCACAAATATATAAATCGCCATTGCACATTTAAATCTGCATACAATTGGAATTTACCCAACTCCATATGGTGATGGGCGTTATCAACTGGTTACGAATAAAAGAAATCAAATAAAAATTTCAAAATACCTCTTCGACGATGCTGAGGTCGCCCTCTGTTATAACCACAGCAATTTCTATCAGACGACAAGTGTCAACTTCAAGACCTGTCATTTCACAGTCAACCCAAATCAGACGCTTCTGCATACGCTCCTTTTCTCGCTTTTCCTCTGCCGTCTTTGCCCGTTTTACGCCATTTGAGTACATTCTATTAGTTTGCAAGACAAAACCCCCCTGATAAATACGGTCGAAACCCCTACACCTGCCAAAAGTTAAAATTGACGGATAACGCAGCCAGCATGAGATTCGTGCCGCTGAAAGAAAAAATGACATTTGACCCCGTTTTGCCCTTTGACCCCAACGAAGTTAAGTTGTTTATTGCTGGAACGACCTGTTTTATTATAACTGGTAGTACCTAACTTACGAGTTTCAAAGGATTTTCTAGTGTTCTAGCTGTTCTGGATATAACTCCATCCGAGAAAGTTTTTTTGAGATGATCTCAAAACAGAGAAGGGATTTACGAACACACTAACGTGTCAGTTAATTTGCGCATGTGCAGAAACGAATGTAAAATTTAGTTTTTCTGTTCCACGTCTGCAGGTGGGTTGTTTTGTTATTTTTCCATGTAAAATATTGAGGAATAATTTTGAATATTGGATTGAGCAGATTTCACAAAAAAAATATTGAATATTTGGTAATTACCAGAGTATGGAATATCATATATTTTCTATAAACAAATATGACGTTATCTTCATCACTACTTCCGATTGTATAGGTCGTGATGATGGTGGTGTATGTGATGATTCATTGAATAATAACTCGTGAATTTGTTATTTCACCGTCATCGTAGGACATGAATCGTTTCTCGTTCCCAAAGCCAATGCAGCATTATTTGTTTTCATCGAGTTCAATCAAGTTGATTGTTGTTGTTTTGTACTGGGGTTGATATAGTAGTTTATTATCAATTTTAAAATTCCTACATGTACCATGGTGCTGTTCATCGCAATGTGGCGTTGTAATTACAGAGATGAACTATACATATTGATGTTACCTAATAAGTAACTGCATCTAAACGGGATATTAATGTTGTCTCACTTCCTGAACAATTATTCATAGCTGAACAATCTTCATAACATCCAAAATGTATTATTTTAAACAAAAATCTGCATGATTCATCAGTGTTAATTAATGTGTCACAGGGGTGAATATAGGCTTTGACACTGCAATACCAACCATTACAAAATTATTTGTCATGCCATTTCTTGAGAATTCTTATAGTATTTGGTACTTTGGTATAGTATTTTGGTACTGGCAATTCTGACTTCTGCATGGGTAGAAGTGGGTGTATGCCTGGATTCTCTCCTCCAAAAAAAAATCAACAGGAAATATTAAATATAATTACATAATTTGTATTCAAAAATATATTATGTTTCTTCTCTGCAGATTCTAAATAGTGAAGTTGAGAATGACTAGAATATTAACTCATGGATGAGTAAAACACAGTCATGAGTGTTGGTCCTCTTGCTGTAGAGATTATCTGTGTTTTCATCTTATCAGCTTATCTTTTACATCGCTATGGAAACTGGAGAAAGCAGCATGTCGTAGTAACCTTAGCAACCTTTGTCTCCTGGTATTTTTCTTTCATTATCATCTTCATTCTGCCGCTAGACGTGTCATCCGTAAGTATGCTAATTCATTAACTTAACTAAAAAAAAAGATGAGTCATCTTAAATCAATGTTTTCACCTATGTTTAAAATTTTCTAGAATTTATATACCATATTGAAACCCACTCTTATTTTAGTTTTATATAAATTGATAATTATTTAAAGGGTGGTTGTAATATGATTTTTTGTAAACAGTATATTTTATATATGGATTCACATCAAACATGTTGTTCCTCAATAACCATTTACGAATGACGTTGTTGCACACTACTTTTTGAGAGGCTGGTAGGATTCAGTTGATATTAATATTTATAAAAATGAAGGTTTGTTGTGATGAAAATATGCAGTCACAGCTGAAGTAATATTATCTAGTTTCACAATAGAAAATTAATTTATGACCTTGTTGACCTCGTGTACACTAACGTAATGAGTAAAGAAGTATACTGCGTCATCTCAAAACATGTATTTATCATTCTTTTGATGTGTAGGAAACAACAAGTTAATTAAGGTATTTTTATCGCATTATTATCAAATGTCTGTCTATTATTATAGAGATAGATAATAAATTGATAAATTGCAAATTTATTTTTCACATAGAATCAACGTCACCTTTTCTCAGAGGGTCATTAACCCTTTCTTTCCAAACTTAGTACATAGCTGATAGCTAATGGCACATGTATGCTTCCAATTTCTTTCTTTGATCAGATTTAAAATGGCTGACTGGTGGTCATATTGGATCCATAAAAGGCCTAAAAACATACATTTTACATGTATGTGTGTACATGAGATGTGCTGAATTCTTGTGTTCAAACTTTGAATGTTTGTAATACCTGTTGTCTTATTGACACACATCCAGTGCTTAATATGTATTTTGTGTAAGACAAATACTTATTTTTGGTCATTAGCTTTGTTGACAGACAACAAGTGCCGATGTTGTTGGTGCTGTTCAATGTGATTTTTATAATGTGATATCTCAAGAATCTCTGAAATTTATAAGATCTTATTAGACTGGTGAAGACCTGTTAATTAGAAAAATTTGCACACGAATGAAATTCTTGTTTCCTTGATACTTGTATTACAAGAACTAACTGGTGCTTAGATTCACATTAACAGTCATACATGTACATGTATACTATGGAACAATTGTAAGACTACAAGTGTTGTTGATAATATGTGCATAATTATTTAGCTTAATTATTATCTGAGTTGAATTCTTTTTGACACTGTTCAGTACATATTGCCCTTGATGCAAGTTTTAAACAGTATCAGAACCAGCCCTGAAACTCTTAATTTAGATCGGTTTCTTTCTTTGGGAGAATGTTTTAGGAAAATCCATGCTTCTGTTTTTTTTGGGTTCCCAGCATTCTTTGCGCGCATACCAGCTTGCTAGTTTTTCTTCTGCACATGCACAGCTCATGTTTTTTCCATAATGCACTCACTTGACATAGAATTTTGCAAATGGCTGATTTTTGGTAAAATTTTGTTTGATCATATCGAGACTATATTTAACTGGAATTCTCAAATTTTCAGCTCAAAAATGCATCTGTTGAAATATATGAGACATAAACAAATGTTTCCTACAGCAGTGTTGCAGAATCATTTGTGGCCTACGATTATATGACTGGTTGGTGATGTGTTGCTGTACATGTCTTACTCGTCTGACTTAGTACCCATGATTGACTAAGTGCCCATCTCCCAACTCTTGGGGCATTTCTATTTTCAGGCTAAGCGCCCATTCTTTCCAAAATGTCTCAATATAAAACCTGGTCTTTTTGAGCATTGTTTGATTTTTTCGAATACTGGTAATCAAATTTATATAATACAGCATGGATATCGATTACCATGATTATTGTGCATAAACAAATCTTTTACAATATCTAGTTAATAATCTAGAAACGTACCTTGTACCCTGGGCGCTAAGTTGGATGAGTACGGTATTTGTAATGGTGTCTACGTTTTTTGAAGTTGTACAGAACAGAACCTGGCATCGTGGTCCGGTGTGGCACGACTGTCGAAACAGCTGACAACTTTGTTTTATTGTTGATATGTTTTTCGACCATGTTATCCTGGTATTGCTTCTAGCTCACTCATGTGGTATATGTTTTCCTGATATACAGGTTTATAACGATGCCCAAAGCAGCTTGAACATTTTTTAAGTAGTTCATGATGTAACAGTTTTCTCTTGCAAAGATTATCTCATGTGTATATTTTTGTGGTGTTCCTGAATCTTCACGGCTGATAAACACATTTGACTGCTGACAATTTTTGATATTGGTGCGTATTTGGGTTAGTTATTCAAATAAATTAACCTGATACCGTCATTGCGTTCTATGAATTTTATTCATGTGTACTGCTTCGTGTAATATTTGTGCTTTTTATATCAGCAATGGCCCACAAAAACATTAATGATGTATTGGTGTGATTATCAGATTATTTCGTGACTTATCTCTCCGGGTTATCTCTGTAAGCAAAATGGTAAAGTACTTTAAAATTTTCTGACACGTACAAAAGTGGAACACTAACAGTATATGTACCTCTACATGATGATACTTCCAAACAATATGTATTATAAAGCAAATGCACTATTCATTAGTTTGTTTACTGTTTTCTTTTAAAGAAAGGCTTTTTAATTTTGCTATTGCATTTTTTTAGAATGTGAACAAATTTCTACATTTACATTTTCATTTATTGTTGTTTTTAAAAAAATTGTTCTGTAGCAAATTGATCTGATGAACTATATCTATACATAATTTGCTTAACTTTTGTATTCATCTATTCCTTCTTCCACTGAGCTACATCTTTTAGTGATAACAGGAGCAATTCTAAAAGTGCTAGTTTTGGCTTATAATTGGAGAATGAGAGAACTTAATTACTAAATTTATTCAAATTTGGTAAAGAGACGTTCAATTGTTTCACAAGGCTGCAAACTTATTTTTTTTTGACAATTGTATTCATGTTGGCTGACTACAGCCATTTTGTTTGGGGAAATTGGTAATTCTTACTTCAAATTTGCAAGTTCATTTGATCCATATAAGTAAATAGGCAGTTGTATTGTACTACAAAATTCAAAATTCATCTTTGGTGTGACCTAATTGAAGAACATGCCTCCATATCAGGAAAAAATATAAATGTCCATGAACCTTCATCTATACCTTAATTAATTAAAATATATGACACTTCTCTATATTATCAATCTACATATCTAACAGCGTCCGGATTACTTTCGGAAATTTAGTCGCGTTTCGGAAAGTTTTAATTTTCACAACTTTTGAATATTAATTCATACTTTTAGGTTTAGTGAGGAGGTTATAATAATTTTTCATTTCACTTTAACTCTGTTTTTTTTTTATATGTTCTGTTTGTATGCAGTATAAATTATGTGTTACATATGTATGCAGTACATGATAGATTTGAAATATAAATACAATTTTAAAAAAATTATATAAATACAAATTTTTTTTGAGAGAAAATATCCCATGTTGTAACCCAATTCTGGAATGAATATTTTATTGGAGCTGATTGATGACAAAATTAAATTATATTTGGTTCATTGGTTCATTCTAAATTTAGCATTTTAATTCATTTTACTAGACTAAATTGTGAAAAATCTTTTTATTCTACAGTTGATATTTGCATTTGAACATTGAATAACGGTGTTTGTGCTCATAACTTGCAAATGACGAGTCATAAAATCTTCTGTTATCAGCATCACATGATACAGTGTAAAGTGTCTTGAAAATTAAATATTATGTTGTTTCACCACATGGGGTTGCCTGTAATGGTGTCAGCTGGTTTCATGTCCTAAGGTTACAATGTAAAACGAAAATGTCTCACTGGATATGTTAAATATTGGTAGTTCATAGGCTGCTGTTATGGCTTTCCAATTAATAAATCTTACTTTGCTCATCACTTATTTTCTAACCAAGGCAGAAAATGGTCCTCTTTGATTTTGTCCCAATTAAGACCCCAATTAAACTTAGAAATAGAAATTTTGGACAATAGACGTACCTCTGTCATTTTGTGTGAACGTATACGCTACTAATAAAGGAAATACAGTGATTGTATACATCTGTACAAGTAAGTATGGATAAATGTATTTTGTCATGTTACAGGAAATGCAGTACATGTATGCGTGGCACATTCTTGTACTGGTATTGTTTTGATCTTTGCAGATATAACTAGATAGGATTAAACTACTTTGATGAGTCATGTACATATGGTACATGTACTGGCTATAACTGCTGATATCAGAACATTGGCTTGATAAATGTGAAACTAAGGTTCTATAGGTTTGAAAAATTCTCTGTAATTGTAAGGAAAAAAGTCTGTTCTAACAAAGAGTTGTGATAATTAGCTTTTAGAGATCAGGATTTGAGTCAGTGATAGGCAAGTAGAATGAAGATATTATTTAACTGAGTTACCCCAGTCAGTGAAAATAAATTGCATATTGTGAGGATTAAGTATTCAAAAATCGATGTACATGGGCAGTGATTCATGAAAATTGGTGCAACCTGTCTTGTTTTTTTATTCCTATCTAACAGCTGTCAACAAAAAGAATATTTATTTTGAATGCACTTTATATTATTAAATAAAATTAATAATATTCCACCTGCTTTGCATCTTAGTACGAGTTTTATCAACAATGAAGCAGACACCTTTGGCTCCCTTTTATTAGTCCCTGTTCGGACGAAGTCTGAAAACGAGGACTTATAATTTGGTCTCCGTCCGTCTGTGCGCCACGTGTCCGTACGGAGTCATATCTCAGAATCCCTCGGACCGATTCCGTTCATTCTTTGCATGTGCCTAGTACTTTATGTGGGACATATGCACATGCAGTGGTTTAGCGATTCGAGTCAAAATGGCCGACTGGCAGCCATCTTGTTTTTTGAAAATGTTATATTTTGGACATGCTTTGTCAGGTGTCATTTAAACTTGGTACATAGATTATACATGTTAGTATACATGTCCATGACAATTTATTTCACAATTGGATCAAAGATGGCCGACTGGCAGCCATCTTGTTTTTTGAAAAATGTCGTATTTTGGACATGCTTTGTCAGTTTTCATTCAAATTTAGTACATAGATCATACATGTTAGGATACATGTCCTGACCGTCCAACTGGATCGAAGATTGTCGACTGGCAGGCATCTTGTTTTTTGTTTTTTTATGCGGTATCTTGGACGGGCTCTGTCAGTTTTCATTCAAATTCGGCACATACATGTACTTTATACATGTTAGGATACATGTCCATGACAATTTGTTTCAAAATCTAGTCAAGGATGGCCGATTGACAGCCATCTGACTTTTTGGCCTTACTACTATATTTCCACAATTTATGTACCATTTTCATTTGTATTTGGCACATACATCATACATATCAGTGTGTTTCATAATCAGATCAAAGATTGCCGAATAATGGCTGTTTTTATAATTTGGCCATATTACTCTACTAGACGGAACACGTTGTTTTGATGTAAATAAACAATCTGTTGTATATGCCACTTGGAACTCAAGTTTCAAGGACATGCTTGCGACAACCCCTCCGCTTTAATATGACGAGCAGCAAAGAGAACTTTCAAAAATTTAACGGGGACTGTGTCATTTTCAATGACTTGTTTTATTTCCAGTGATATCTCAAATATTTCACGATGATTTAACAGGTAGATAAATAGCTTTGAAAATGCATAATACCAAATTGTTGCTATTAGGCAGAGTAAAAAAAAAATTGTGCATGTTTGCTTTGTCAGACATTTTAAATACACGTATCATGTTCAGCGACAACCATTCAGTAAGTAATTTTCTGGTTACTAAAGAACAAAAGAATAGGGCCAGTTAGTGGGAATCTGTCTTAATTAAACCATAGACCAATGACTATAAGAATGATCCTTTGTTTTATTCATGATGACCAAAGCAATTCAATGGTTCATGATTGTAAGACAAGATTTTGTTACATGTATGTTATTGGCTTTTAAAAATCACATATTGACACAGTCTAGATTTTTGGATTGAGTTTGTCCATTGTATTTTTTCAGGGGTTCATTGATGAGATACATATACTCTTGATTTTGTTGTCATATGATACTTCAAAATGGTTGACAACAACAACCTACATTTTATGTGTATACATTGTAGAGTTGTGCTGATTCTGTTCAGACTTATAACATCTGTTGCCTTACTGAGACACATCCGTTATCTTTCCGGATTTGTTCAAAATTGCCAGACTGGTGGCTATTTAATACATCAAAAATACTTAATTTTGGTAATTTTTACTTATTATGTGCATTTACAAAGATACAACTCTATTTTTTCGTGATCTACAGTATTTATCTTTTTTTCACAGTTCTGCTCACTGGCAGTCCAGTTAGGCCCAAACTTCATGTATGTATGGGGGTCTAAAAACTAACTCTGCGACGCGATTGTGCGACTCGCCGAATGTCGATTATTGCACTCTGCGACAGGATCGCAGTGTCACTCTGCGAAGAGCACAATTCCTATTGGTTGGTTGGTCGAACAGCGTGAGTCCCAGTGGTCGATGTTCACCGCAGGCCTTATAAAAAATTAAGTTTTAAATGGTAAAAAAGGTACGGTAAAAAAAGTGTGTAAACACTATGTACCGGCGACATGCTGCACTGTTCGGTGGTCGGCAAGCACATGGAAGACAACGACTATGCTCATTAGCATAGGCGGCAGCTTCAAAGCGAGTGGAACGCGAAGTACTTTTCACGCATTCTGCAATGAATGTTGTACGTCTGCTTTGACTTTGTTGAGTGCATCAAGGAAAATATTTGCATGCAGTGAAAAAAAAAATTATTCACGACGTGCAAAGTTTTGCCATGACAGCAGATGTTTGCAATCGTCTGCATTCGTTT